GGGTTTAGGGTTTAGGGCGCTTTGGGCTTGGCGTTTGGAGCTTCAAGGCAAAGCTTGATAGGAGCTTGTATACCCCACAAGGCTAGAGCCTTTCTACCCAGCCGCTAAGGAGCTTTGTGACTACGACGTAGATGCTAACGAAGGGAACGGTAAGCTCGAAGAGCATCATCAGCACGACACAGAATGCGATAACAAATGTGCATGGTGCCAGGTAGGTCGGCTTGATGCGGAGATGCTCCAAGCCATCCTCATGACTCTTCAGAAACGCAGCCATCTCGAACAAGCACCAAAGCCTCGAAGCGATCGCTGTGCAGGGTATGCGGATATCGATATGTCGATCTATCGGTCTGTCTACCTATCTACCTATCTATCTATGTGCGCACGTAGTGTGTGTGTGTGTGCGCACTATCAAATTATGTCGCTATTTACGGTCAGTAGCATTCCTATGACCCCAACGCCTCGAAGCGAACGTCGTGTCCCATAGGACAAGCATAGAGTCCGAATGCTTTAAGATGGCGCCCATGTTCAGGACGCCCTCGGCCTTCATTGCTTGATCCACCTGGTTGATGCAAACCCGATCCAAAAACATCGCCTGCTTCGGTCGCCAGAAGAACAGCGTCAACGTTGAGACAACCACTCCTGTCAACAAGGCAAACCCTAAACCCTAAACCCTAAACCCTAAACCCTGAACCCTAAACCCTAAACCTGAACCGTTCCTGTCAACAAGGCCCATGGCCCATACTTGTACTCAGTGTCGCTTCCGAGGAAGGGTCGCCGGAAGTAGCCGGGCAGAAGGTCCAGGCAAAAAAGGCACATCATCACCAGTGCCTGGGCTCGTGGTAACAAGTTTAACCTTGCATGCAAGCTACCAACGATAAGGAAACTGTATTAGCCACTATGTATCTGAACTTGCACTTAAGCTACCAACACTGAGGAAACTATGATTGTCTTAGCCACCAGGTATCCCTGCATTGTTGATTTAACCTTGCTTTACATGTTTATTAAGTTTACTATGTCGACAAACATGCCCAACACTCCCTTAACGATTTGTGTTGCTTGGTGCAAATTGCACCTGAACTATCGCCAATGCTTGCTGCCTTCGTTCGGAGAGAGCATTTGGCACTGCCTAACCAGTCTGGAAAAGTGTTGATCAAGCTCCTCAACAGGAGCCAAGGCGCACTGAGGGTCCCAGCCACAAAGGCTGCCATCCCGTTCTTCATCAACAGCAAAAGTGATGCCTTCATCCAGGCTGATCCATGCCAACTGTGCGAGCAGAACTCGTCGATGGAGCTGACAGCACGACTCCTCAAAGGGGCTGTGGTGGACTGTTATGTGCCTGCCGTATTCTGGCAACTCAACCTAGGTTCCTCAACAACATTACCAAACCGCTTTAAAGCTGCTTGAAACAATCTTGTTGGAACCTTTAAGACAAGCCTGTACGTCAAGCTTCCTACAAGCCTTTCCCCCAACCCAAAACCCAAAATCTCAAACCCTGAACCCTGAACCCTAAACCCTAAACCCTAAAACCCTAAACCCTGAACTCCCCGACTGAAGACGCTCTAAGTGACCCTTATAGCAACCGCCTTATCTTGAGCCCTTATAGTGACCCACATCGTAGCCCTTGGAATTCAAACCCAGGCTCAGCCCAGCAACCCTTAGAGTAACCCTGCACTGGCAGTCATCGCGCCATAAAGCCCTAAACCCCAAACCCAAAACCCCTCGCAATTTCAAACCCTTATGGTAGCCCTTGTAGTAACCCTAGCAGTAAGCGCCATATAACCCTAGACCCCACACCCAAAACCCCTCGTAATTTCAAACCCAGGCTCAGGCCGTAGTAGTCCCCACTGCACCGCAGGACCCGGCCAAAACACTGTAAGATTTGAAAGGCCGGGACGGCACGCAGAATCTCTGGCTGAGTCACCTCACAGTCTTGGACCCTGCGAGTTTAAAGTTTCGGAAGCCAAAGTTTAGGGTTAAGGGTTTTGTGATTTGGCGTCAAGGGTTCAACAATAAACCCTGAGCCCCTAAGCCCTAAATCCGAAACCCTAAAAAGCTTAGGATTTGTTGGCGGTTGAGGGTTTTTGAGGGTGCAGGAGTTGTGACTTCGGGGCTGGGGCTAGTTCGGTTTGAAACCCTTAACCCTAAACCCC